TTTTTTGAGACAGGGTTTCTCTGTGTTACAGTCCTAGCTGTCCTGGAACTCACTTGGTAGACCAGGCTGAGCAGTCATTGACAACACAGCACTATTTTTTTTTTTTTTTTTTGAGACAGGGTTTCTCTGTGTTACAGTCCTAGCTGTCCTGGAACTCACTTGGTAGACCAGGCTGAGCAGTCATTGACAACACAGCACTAAACAATTTTTTCTTTTTTCTTTTCTTTCTTTCCTTTTTTGTTTTTATTTATTTTTTTCGAGGCATGATTTCTCTGTGTAGCTTTGGAGCCTGTCCTGAAACTCACTAAGTAGACCAGGCTGGCCTTGAACTCACAGAGATCCGCCTGCCTCTGCCTCTTGAGTGCTGGGATTAAAGGTGTGCGCCACCACTGCCCAGCTACTAGACAATTTCTTTAAGAACATCTAGTAGGGGTTGTGGAGATGGCTCAGTGATCGCGAGCACTGGGCTTCTCTTCTGGAGATAATTGCTTGGTTCTCTGCACTCACATGGCAGTTCACAACTGTAATCAAGGGCTCAATGAAACCAGAGCACTCCCTGGGTACAAAGATAAGCTTATTTGGGGAATCTAACTGCCAGGCTGCCTCTCAGGAGGCACAGAACAGCAGCCCACATAGAAATGCCTTGTCAATTCAGAGAGGACAGGCAGTGATGGGAGGAGAGGTGCAGAGGAACCTGGGGGTTCCAGCTTGGGGGTTGGCACGGGGCTGTGATGTGTGGCAGGCTGTTGTGTTAATCAGGAACTAGGGGCCCTTGCCCAGGAGAGTTGATCAGCAGCCGGAAGTGGGGAGGAGTGACTTTCCTGGTAGCTGAAGAACACCATACTAGATCCCTGCGGGCTGCTGAGCTTGGGTTTCTGTTTACCCAGTAACAATCCTGTTTAGGACATTGTCACCAGCACTGCCATTTTGAAGGCTTGCCTTGGACCTAACAAGACCATTGATTGCTCTAGTTCCAGGGGATCTGACATCCTCTTCTGGTTTCCAGGGGTTCTGCATACACGTGGTACACTTACATACAGGCATAATATTCATATGCATAAAATAAAAATAAATAAAACATTAAAACCTAGCCAAAGCCTATCTTGTGGAGCACATCTTTAATTCCAGAATTTGGGAGGCAGAGGCAGGTGAATCTCTATGAGTTTAGGACTAGCCTGGTCTACATAGTGACTTCAAGGCCGGCCAAGGATACATTGTGAGACCCCTCTTCCCCAACAAAACAAAGCAAAAACAGTCTATCTTGCTGCTTAGAGGAATTAGGTTACTCTGTATCACCTAAAGCAAACTCATGTTGCCAGTGAGAACAGTTACATTTTAAAATCAGTGCAGGTCACAGTACTTCAATGCTAGCTAGCCCCTGGGGAGAGCAGCCCTTAAAGCTACATAGAACAAACCAGAGGGAAAGCATTTACAGAAACTGGTTTTTATAAGCAAGCTAACATTAGATTTGAACTAGGCTACCCAGGCCATGCTCCCCTGGAGGGTTCTTGCTCTCTATTTCTTTAATAAATGTCAAAGAAGATGAAGACACCCTACTGAGGTTCTGCCTGTGAGTCTTGGACTTTTATTTTTCAAATGTAGTGTTCTGATACCATAAGCAATTCCATGTGATGGCCACACCTTAACTGACTAGTCACTGTTTCTCTCTTAAAACTCACAGGTAGCTCATTTGACTTCTTAACAAGCACAGAGACATAGAAGAAGGAAGAAGATATGTGCTAGATTGATTGATTGATTTAATTTTTTTTGAGACAGGGCTTCTCCATGTAGTCCTGGAACTCACTCTGTAGACAGACTGGCCTCAAATGCAGAGATCCACCTGCCTCTGCCTCCCAAGTGCTGGGATAAAAGATGTGTGCCACCATGACTGGCTTTACACTTTATTTTTCTGACCTACTTTCAGTTGTGAGCAAGTCAGTTATGAGAGCAGCTTCTATTCTTGTTATTTAGTTTCAGGGTTATGGCTAGGGTGTAGTCCCAAATGCTGGAATAAAGACTTTCAACTGTCTATAAACTGTGTCTGAGTGATCATCTCTGGTAGGCTCCCTAAAACAATCCTCTCAGAAGTAAAGTCTAGAAAAATTATTTTTTTTCCTTAAATTTATTTATTTTTATTCTTGGACTTTAGGTTTTAAAAAGACACAGAAACAATTGTCATTATGTAGTCCAAAATAACCCTAAAGGTTCACATACACACTCAAACATTTTTAAAAGGAGTTCCAATTGAGATCACCAGCTTAAAATGAGCTGACAGTGATTCAGAGCCCTAGCTCCTCTTCCAGAGGACAGGTTTGATTCTTAGCACCCACATGGCAGCTCACAACTGCCTGTAGCTTCACTTCTAGGGGATCTCATACCCTCTTCTGGTTTCCGTGGACATCCAGCATGCAAGGGGTGCACAGACAATGATGATAACAAAAGGAAATACAGAGGAAAGGACATGGCTGCTCCTAGGCATGGTGGAGGCGAAAGGTTATTGTAGCTGTGTGGGAGACCGTAGCCAGAGGCGGGGACATCTGGAAAAGCCCAGAGCAGACCTGACCCCAGCCACGTGAGGAGACGGGAGGAGAAGGGAGAGGGAACTAGGAGCAGCAGCTAAGAGGGCAAAGGAAAGACCTGAGAGACCAGGTAACCAAAATGGCTGGATTAGACAGGGAAGGGCAGCTGGGGAAGGGGCATGCCAGCCCCTGGGCTGAAGAAGTTTGGAGTAGGGGTGGGGTATGCCAGCCAGGAGGGCCCTGTATCAGATAGGGACTGAGGGATGCAGGGAGAGCCTAGTGACCATGTCCTCTTTGAAATGTTTAATAGGCACCTTAGTCATTTGTCCCAGGTTTGAGACCTGACACATACATGCAGACAAAGCATCCATATAACATTTTAAAAATATAAGTAAATAACTGGACGGTGGTGGTGCACACCTTTAATCCCAGCAATTGGGAGGCTAGCCTGGTCTATGAAGAATGTCCAGGACAGCCAGAACTGCTACACAGAGAAATCCTGTCTCGAAAAACCAAGTAAATAAATAAATAAGTAAACAAACAAATAAATAAAAAAATTTAAAATTTAAAAGTAGGGCATGGTTAGAAATAAGTTCTGGGAGTTGGAGAGTGGTTAAAAGCACTGGCTGCTCTTCCAAGGGTCCTGAGTTTGATTCCCAATGCCCACATGATGCTCACAACCATCATGTCCTCTTCTAGTGTGCAGGAATACATAATAAATAAATCAATTTTACACAAAACTGCTTTAAAAAGAAAGAAAGAAGTTCTGGGTCACAGAGAAAAAGATAACCACTCCAACTGAAGAGCCTGGACCAGGCAAACTTACCACTTGGTCAATGGCGTGTGCTCAGAAGGGCAAACATATGGAGACAGGAAGTAAGCACATTTGTGGTCTGTAAGTTAATAGATTCCAATGATTTTTACATATTAGTCACGGGATGCTAGTTCTGACACAGGTGGACAAGGAGGCTGTTCTGGGGGCTACAGCTAGTCCAAGATAAGTTAACTGGCTTCTGCAGTTGCAACATTCCCACTTCTCCACATCCTTGTAACTGTAACCAGTCAGTTGTTTTTCCAGAATTCTCATGAACAGTGTCTTGATCAGACAGACCTTCAACTTATCAGAACAGGAGCCCTCTTGGTGGGAGAAAAAGGCCCCATTATGCCTTTGTTTTAAGCTGCCAGGCTTTTGTCTCAGGTCAGGAGGGTGTTAAGAAGTTGGGCTTTTGTCATCTTAGAAGTTTGCTTCTTTTAAAGTTTATTTTTATTATTTTTAGGTGTGTGTGTGTGTGTGTGTGTGTGTGTGTGTGTGTGTGTGTGTGGTCTCTGTATAGATTTATACATGTGCAGAGACCCAAAGATGCCAAAGGGTTGGAAACCCCGGGAGCTAGAGTTACAGGTGATTCTGAGCTGTGCCTATGAATGCTGGGACCAGACATCAGGTCCTCTACAAGAGCGGTAAGTGCTCTTAACAGGTGAGCCGTCTCTCCAGCCTTCTTGCTGTCTTACCCCTAGTGCTGCTCCCCTTCCATCAGAGATCTAGCTAACTGCTAATCCTCCAGTTTAACCTTTCACATCTTTCAGAAGCACTTTGCCCAGTGCTAAGATTATCACTAATACATTCTCCTTGTCCCTAGAGCTGGGATGCAGTAGGACACACAAGAAAAACACGATTTTGCCTTTCCACTACTCCTGGGTAGACCCTGCTCTGAGACCCTGGTGCCCAGTGCTGTTCCCCTGTCCCAGCTTCTGCCCAACATCCCTTCTTGCAACAAAGCCCTGGGTAGCCACATCCTTCTAACGGCATTCCCTGAGACTAGAACCTGGTCACGACCCTCTGGTTGGTCAGTCTGTGGCTCCTGTGCTAACAGATGCACCCCACCGCTATATGGCTGCTGGCTGTTTCTGATCCTATCACTAGATGTGGCAATGGTCTGGCTGTTGTTATGATAGCCATCCAAGCATTTCCCGCCAGGCTCTGACGCCCATATTGTCTTTTTACTGATGTCAGACTTGCTAATAGTGTTTGAGAAAGCCAGGGTTCAGGGTTCAGGTTTGAGGTAGCTGTGGGTCACCTTTGTCCAGTTTAGCATATAAACCCTTCCTCCTGCTCAGGGGTATGGGAATCATCTGTCTTGCTTCTTTGTGAGAAATACTTCTGCTACTGAATTAATAAGAACATGTGTCCTGGGCAGTTCTGGGCATACCTGCCGTTCTTGAGGGCCTCACAACACCTGTGGCTAGTTCTTTTATAGTGGGACTTGATATTTTTGGAACCAAGGTGAGTCCCCACTCTGGCTCTGAGCTGCCTCTGAGAGCCTCTATGGAGGGAACAGTGGGGTGTCCTGACCCTCCTATGCTGACAGCAGGGACGCTGTAGGGAGCCAGTTACTGACAAATTCTCAGGTCTAGAATTCTTTGGTATCTTTGTTTCGGCCACGAGATGGGTGGGAGAGATTGTATCTGAGGCAGAACTGGGGTCATTTTAATGGGACATTGTAAACTATAAAGTGGGAGAGCCCTGAGTTCGGCAGCACTGCTGGCTTCTACCTACTGTGTGCCAGTGAGGTCATCACAGGCTCCAAACCAGAAATGCCCACGGATGCTGGCTGATGATGTCTGCTTGGGGCACACTCTCCTAGCCGTGAAGGGTTGGGCCCGGGATGGGATCCAGGTGATCTCTGGGTTCCTGCCAGGAACACAGAGCTTCCGGAATCAGGCTAGTTAGGTGTTCCTTTGGCCCTAAAAGGGCAAATTCCATTGTAGAGTTAGGAGTGGGGCAGGCACATGGCTTATCCCTTGGGTCTCGGCCCTTCAACCACCCAAACACTCCAGTAGCCAGAGCTACAGGCAAGTGTTGTCTAATTGGTCCACAAACAGGAGAGCTTGGCTTGGCCCACTGTGGGCTCCAGGCAACATCTGTTCTTGGATTTGACAGCAAAGTTAGTCACAGCAGCCACAGTCCTGGGTTGTGGGTGTCTCTGACCAGCACTGGGCTCTTAAACCTCAGTTGCTCACTGAGGCAGCAAGGAGGCCCTTGCAGGATGCCCTGGGCAATTTCTGCAGGATGCACTGTCTGTGGCTGGACAGTGCACACTTAGCAGAGGACCCTTAGGCCTGGAGCTCTTTGTGACATGTGTTGGGTATGGCTGTGTGTTCCCAGCATGGGGGAGTTGCTCCACTGCTCCACTGGAGTCTCAGAGTTAACTAGATGGATGGTGGATTCTCTCACCCATAAGACACAAGCTGCATCCGGGATATCTGGCACTTCTGTCTCTTCCCAACATTCCTGTTGATGCTGCTGCAGACAGGTGGTGACACCCATGTAACCCTGGTAGCAAAGGACTCCAGGTCTCCCCTCCCATCCTTCCTGAGGTCATATGCCACTTCCTCCCAGCTCTTCCTCTAAGCAGTGGCCGGGCCAAAGCCCCCTTCCCACTTCCTGGGGCTTGAGGATAAAGGGGCTGAGAGGCCAAAGCAGGAGGAAGCTGTGGAGACCGGGCATGGTAAGGGCACCATCCTCTCCTTTCCCAGATACCTTCACTGACTTTGGATTTCCATGCTCTCCATCCCAACCTAGGCAAGCCCAGTCCCCTCCACACCTCTCCATGCTCCTGTTCTTGCCCAGAATCATGCTCAAGTCCTCTCCACCCTGACCCAGAATAGTTCCAGGCCCCTCCAACTCCCGGCCCCTGTGCTTCTCTCTACAGATGTGGAGCTTGCTGTGTCTGACCCTCCTCTTCGTTGGGTGTACCGCTGCTGGAACCCCAGGTGAGTCCTTATCCATAGCACTTCTTCCATTCTACAAAGTTTCCAAGAAACCCTGTCCCCCAGGACTCTGGAGACCATGCGCATGACCTGCTCTGTCCTAGTGTAGGTGGTAGGTTGGGCACTGGTCTCCTGACATTCTACTTGTTGCTTGCAGAACCTGTGTCTGAGGATGTACTGGTGGGCATTGTGGGGGGTAGCAGCGCCCCACAGGGGAAGTGGCCATGGCAGGTCAGCCTAAGGATCTACAACTACCACGCGGCCTCCTGGATGCACATCTGTGGGGGCTCCATCATTCACCCACAGTGGGTGCTGACTGCTGCCCACTGCATTCGCAAGTGAGTTCCTTTGTCATCCAGTGCTGGGTAGGATGAGGGGTAAATCGGAAGGGCGGGGCCAACGCCCCCACCATACTAGAATATGTCGTCACAGCTTCTTTCTGCCCTCAGGAGAGATGCTGACCCCTCATCCTTCCGGATCCATGCTGGGGATGTCTACCTCTATGGGGGCAAGGAGCTGCTGAGAGTGAGCCAGGTCATCATGCACCGGGACTATGTCGATGCTGGCTTGGGTTCAGATGTGGCCCTGCTCCGGCTGGAGAACCCCCTGGACTGCTCTACCAACATCAAGCCTGTCAGACTGACCTCTGGGTCTCTCGAGATCAACGAGAAGGATGAGTGCTGGGTGACTGGCTGGGGTACAGTGAGCACGTACGGTAAGTATTGGGGAAGGATGTGAGCTGTGGGAACAAACTTGCCATCTGAGGATTCCTTGTGGGTGGTACCAAGGTCCTGGGAGTAGGACCCAAAGAGGAAAGAGAGTTGCGGACCAACATGGACTAATCTAGCTACACCTCCAAGTTACTCCTGATATCCGTCGGAGTCTCTGCATCTGAGGCCAATGACACAGTTGGGTCCAGAAATCAAGATTCTGAGATGGAAGGATTGGTTCTTATTTTCCAACTAATAATAAAGTATTTTGGAGAAAATGTCAGCAAACAAACCCTTTTGTTTGGCCCTTGACAGACAAGTGGACCGAATCCATGTGTCCAAGCAGTTATGGGTGAACATGGCCCCTTCAGGCTGGCATCCACACATTCTTTTCCACAAAGGAGACTGACGCTTGTAGAGGCCTTAGACAGGGATGGAGCTACACTGGAGAGAGGCCTCCCCTCGACCCCCAGGTGGAGCAGTAGGGTCGTGGGATGGCTAAAGGAATCTATGCACCAACTGGTCCCACCTCTCTTCTCCCCAGCACCACTGCCTCCTCCCTACCGCCTGCAACAGGTGCAGGTGAAGATAGTGGACAATGACCTTTGTGAGGAGTTCTACCACAAAGCCTCCGGCCACCGCAATCGTGATCGGAGAATCATCCTACAGGACATGTTATGCGCAGGCAGTGAGGGCCGAGACTCCTGCTATGTGAGTCCCATCCACCTCCCCATCTCTGTCCTCATTCCCACGTCAGAGCCAATAACCATCAATACTTCTTTTTCTCCCAGGGTGACTCAGGTGGCCCCCTGGTCTGCAGGGTGGCAGGCTCCTGGAACTTGGTGGGAGTGGTGAGCTGGGGCTACGGCTGTGCCCAGAGAGACATCCCTGGGGTCTATGCCCGCGTGCAGTCCTTCCTGCCCTGGATCACTGGTCAGATAAAGAAGTTCTCCTAAGACCAGCTGCTGGCCTCATGCTGGTCAGCTGACGACGGCTCAGCTTTCGTTACGATTCCCGGATGGCCGTGCAGGGCTTAGGCTCTGGAGCACTGGTGCCCAGTGTGCTAAGCACTAGCTACTGAAGGACACGGCGCTATTTCCTGGCTTCTTTAATAAATATGTGTTGCACATTCACGTTTGAGCTTTTGTGTGAATACAAATCTGTTTTTTCTCTAGTGGAAACACCTACAGATGCTGTTTTAATGGTTTTCTAGACAAGTAAGCAAGGGCTGAAGTCACCAGACACGGGGCTCGGGCAGTCTGCACATGTTCCCCAGGCACCCTGAACGGTTATCAGGCTGATTCTTGTCTCTCAAGCACCTAGCATCCTTCTAGCATCCTGGAACCTGGATATGGTAACATTGTGCAGTGATAGGAAGGGTGACAATCCCAGGTGTCCAGCCTTGGGACAAATGATTCTCTGACCATTAGCAACGTCACTCTAGGGCCAGGAGACTACTGCAATGCTGATGTCCTTCCTGTACCTCATTTGTGTTTTTTTTTACTCCAACACTCTGTAGACTCAGTTATCCAGTGTGGCTAAGATTAGAGTGGCTTGGGCTGTTGCCTTGAACTACACACAGTGGCAGTTATCTAATTAGCCTCCCTCACAGAGCGATTCTGACCCTGGGTACATGGTGGGTGGGGGTTGGCAGAGAGGGGCTGACTAACTCTATTCACCAGAAACAGCAGGAGAAGGAAGGTGGGAAGTGTCAACCTCAGACTCAGACAGGGATGTCCCTTCGTCCAGAGGCTCCACCCAGGAGCTGGTAATCTGCAGAGGTCAGCCAGGTGCATAGCAGTGAGCTGCACTGGCCTTTGTGACTTGTAGGAGATGGGAGGGGCCCGATGAGTGCTATACTCTGATGAGCTTCACCTTAAGGGGTCAGGGGTCGAGAGGGGATGGAAGAGGCTCTGACGGGGGTTCTGCTGAGTCTGGAGTGGCAATCAGGATCGCAGGGAAGATCGTAGGGTCCTGTGGGGCTCCCAGCTGGCTAAGCAGGGGCCTCAAGGCAGGGCAGGTTTGACCTCTGTTCTTCTGAAGGGAAGCAGGTGTCTTAGCATAGTTTCCTTCACTTTCCTGCCTGTAGCTGAGCAGAGCAATGAGAGAGGGGACTGTCCAGGGGGAGCGGCAGTCATCTGATTCCCATGGCTCCCACAGGCATCTGGACAGTGCCGCTGTCCTCAAAGGTACCACATGCTCTCTAAACACACACACACACACACACACACACACACACACACGCCCCTATTTATCCAGCACATCCCATCAAGAGCAAGACCCGCCCTGTGCTTCCAATACCACCCCAGGACAGGGAGGGTGGAAGGAAAAGGCTTTCTGTAGCACACAACTTGGGTGACATTGCTTCAGGGTCAGATGGCAAAGGGCAGGAGAACATGGAGCTTCTGACTATGGCTATCCCATGGCTCCCAGGATGCTGGAGTTGGGTTGACCCGGCTCTTTCTCTTCTAACTCCTCCTTCCTGGGGGCAAGGAGGGGGTCCTCAGGGTGGTGGGGCAATAGAACCTGCTCCTCCGACTGGAGCAGTCAGATTCCCCACAGCCTGTGCTCGAGACCCTTCCTGTGCCACCCTAATGACCTTTTATTTTCTGCCGGTGACATGGTGGGAGCCAGGGCTAGGGAAGTGTGGTCAGTGGGCTGTTTGAGTCCACTGTGCCCAGCTGTGCTCCATGTGGTACTGGATGCCCATGCCCGCTGTGAAGCATTCTGTGTGGCTTACAGGATGTTAAGATCTAGAACAGGAGAGCCAATACTTGTCAACACTTCTAGGTGCCAGTCAATATACCAAAGGTGTCCTTCTGCTCTTCAGAAGAACATGTTAGTGTAAGTGCCCCTAGTCTACTTATCAGGGTACAGAAATATTCCCTCAGTCTCTGGCCAAAAGCTAGTGGTCACAAGTGAGCGTGTATGTGTGCGTGTGTGCATGTGTGCATGCATGCATGTGTATGTGTATGTGTTTGTGCTTTGTGCATGTGTGCATGTGTGTGTGCCTGGATGCGTGTGTGTGTGTCTGTGTGTGGGGGAAAGGGTGCATATATGGAGATCAGAGGACAGCTGTAGGAATCAGTTCCCTTCTCCTACCATGTGAGTCTCAGGGATGGGGCTCAGGTTGTCAGGGTTAGTAGCTCTTGTACCTGCTGGGAATCATCACACCTGCCTCCAGCCCCAGACAAGATCTTTTTATTTGTTTTTTTTTTTTTTTTTCTTCTTCCGAGACAGGGTTTCTCTGTGTAGTCCTGGCTGTCCTGGAACTCACTTTGTAGACCAGGCTGGCCTTGAACTCACAGATCTGCCTGCCTCTGCCTCCCAAGTACTAGGATTAAAGGGTGCATCATGCCTGGCTCTGAGACAGGATCTTCCTATGTTTATAGCCTTGGCTGGCCTGAAACTCACTGTGTAGGCCAGGTTGCCCTCAGATTTGTGCCTCAGAATCCACCATGACGCCTGGGACAGAGTATACGTCTCACTAATTTCCACTGAGTAACCTTTGCCTGGAGGCTCAGAAAGTTGATCCCACTTGCTAGACTCTAAAGGTGGCGGGAGGGGTGGGGAAGGAACTCCACCTCACCTTCCTTTATAGGATGGCACCGACTTCCAGAGAATATACCCTGGTGATATTCCTGCTGTAGCCACACTCTTACCCCTAGGAATTAGCTTCGTCTCCACATCCCTTACTGATGATGATATTGTAGCTTCCCCCTGCAAGGTCCTGACAGTCATCCACAGCAAATGAGGGTAGCAGGTCTGTGGAGGCACCCTCACCAGGCTGAGTGGCTGACATGCCTTCTTCTACATGTCCCAGGAAGCCCTAGGTGTAATGTCCTCTGCTGGGGCATCTGGGGCTGAGGGTAGTTGGTGCCTGCATGCCAGTGTCTAGGGAGGCACACACTTAGGTGGTTTGAAGTCTGAGAGCTGGAGTTGGTTCACACCCGTCCTTTCTCACAAATGGCTCCAGCCCTATCCTTATCTACAGGGAAGCAGATGAGTTTTCATTAATGAACATTGTTGATTTGGTGTTTTTTGTTTGTTTGTTTGTTTGTTTTTGTTCTTTTGTTACAGTGCTGGGGGTTAAAGCCAGAGTCTTGGGCTGACAAGGACTCTGGCACTGAGTTATGGCCACGGTCTGACATCGCTGCTTTTTTAAAAAGCAAAATGCTCTCTAAAAGATGAGACAATTAAATGTAAAAGACAAGAAAATTAAATGGAGAAAATCATAATTGAATGTTGCTGCAGTCTGCACAGAGATGTTTCAGCCAAGCCTGGCCTTTCTCAGGGCCGAGCCCACTGTGTCCTGATGCCTTTGACAGGTGCTTCTGTGAACACACAGCTGGCTGGTCTCTAGTGAAATCTCGGCGTAAGTAAGTAAACCTTTTAGGATTCTATTAGTGTCAGAACTCTTTCTGGAATGTTCTTGGTAAACCCGTTTTCAAAAAAACAATGACCAATAATATCTCCCGGGACATTACCTGGGGACACTCCTGTGTCACACTCACTGGGCACAGCTCTTTCCTCCCAAGGCAGGGGAGATTGTCCCTGTACTCCAGATTAGGAGCGGAGGAGATAATGGTTTCCCTAAGGCCACACAACTCAGAAAACACAGGCTGAGGACCAAGCGCTGAGAGTGTCAACCCTGGACCTTTCCCCCCTGCTCACCTCTGAGCCTGATGCCATGAGAAGAGAACAGGGCAAGTGTGGCCCTGGGCACTGAAGACAAGTCAGTACATTGAGACAAGCTTTGTGAGGTAGAGCTGTCAAGACCCCAGGCTTTTCCCTAACGCTAGCTCATCTCAATTCCAGGGACATTCTGCTCTGTTCCCGACTCCCAGGCTAACGTCCCATCTGTTCAAGGCTCAGACTGAACATCCATTAAGGCAGCCTCCAATACTAGTCAGGGGTATCCTGACATGCTGCTTCACAGCCAGGGCTCCCTCACCAGTGACTGAAATTGTTTCTGCTCCCTCAACGTCAACCTGAGAATGCTGGGAACCGGCCATGTGACTGAGCAAATATTGATGTGGGAGTCCCCTCTTCCCCTCTGTGTGCTGTGATTACCATTAGTGAGTAAAGAAACTGCCTTGGCCTGTTGATGGGGCAGAACTTAGGTAGGCCGGGAAAACTGGACTGAATGCTGGGAGAACAAAGGCGGAGAGGGAGACGCTATGGATCCGCTGCCCGAGATAGATGTGCTGAGACTTTGCTGGTAGGCCACAGCCTCGTGGTGATACACAGATGAATAGAAATGGGTTAAATTAATATTTCAGAGTTAGCCAGTAAGAAACAAGAGCTAATGGGCCAAGTAGTGATTTAATTAATACAGTTTCTGTCTGCTTATTTTGGGTCTTAGCTAGCCAGGCAGCTGGGACTAACAAGGAGGCCCTCCTGTAACAAAATCTAATCATGTGAACAATGTATATTTCTTCCTGGATCACCCAGAACTCAAGAGGAGGACTTTTGGGGTCTTGCAAAAGTACTGTCCCTAACCCAGGAGCTGGCTCAACAATAATCCATGTTCCCCTTGAGCACAGGCTGGGATATATTTGGGGACATTGGAAAACCTTGCCTGAGCCTCTGATCAGCTATAGTTTAAGTGTCCTGACAACTCCAGTCCATTTTACTCCAAGACAATGATGGCCCAGCGCCTCTTGCAACACCAGCTCTGAGCAACCACATCCTTCACCTAATGGCATCCCTGAACCCAGAACTTGGACAGGACCTCTCACCGGTTAGGTTGTGGCTCCTGAGCTAACGGCTACCTGACCCAGATCCTGGGCTCTCTAGTTCTCTCTGATCCTATCGCTGGATGTGCTCGTTCATGGTGGCCTGGTCCCGTCTCTATCAGGGCGGCCAGGTATCCTGTCTCCTGGTCTTGTTGCCTAACAGCAAAAGCAGGATCACTCATTGGGGGCCTCAGGTGATCTTACCCAGATAAGGCACCCTGGGCTTGCAACAGCCACAGGAAGCAGGAAATGGTTTCCCTTGAGTGATCTCGTGGGTCACTCCCCAGGTTTTGCTAGGCTTCTTGGAAGATGTAAAGGGGCCAGCCCTGAACTCACCTGCTGTCTGTACTCCCATGCAACTGCAAAAACAAGCATCTCTTTTCTAGGAGAACCTACTTCTCCCTCTTTTGCCATTCCCAGTCTTACTTTGTTTTGTTGTTTGAGACAAGGTCCCACTGTGTAGCCTTGACTAGCCTGGAGCTCATGATTTAGACAGACTGGCCTTAAACTCAGAGATCCACATGTTCTCTCTTTCTGTTGGGATAAAAGGTGTGTGCCACCACATCTGGCTAGCTGTTTCCAGTCTTGATGGTCCACGCAGGTTTGGAGGCTACACCACAGCTAGACTTCCTTTCAGGCTGTGATTCCCACCTCACAGTCCCCCCTTGCTTCCTTGCTAGTGCAAGGGTCCCAGGGCCAAGCACTCTATGACCTGATGCTAGGCTTACATGATTCTCCCAAAGTACCCTGACCCATTCTGGGGCCGCTGGACTCACACTATGCATGTCCCTATACACGGGCTCTGTACACTTAGTCCAAGCACTCAGGACTTGATCTCACTGTATGAGGACCTATGTCAGATATGCATCTCCCTTGCTTCCTCCATACTCCCCAGAGAGCCATCCTGGAACAACAGGGTGTGCTATTCCACCAGTCCTACCTGAAACCTAAAGCCACTTTCTCAGAGATTGGACACCTCAAGTTCTGAGCAGGGATGGTCATTGCTTTCTGCGACACCTTGGGAAAAGAGCAGGAACATGTTTCCAGTGACTGATGGGACCCTTTCTGAAAGATGGCATCATGGTGGCTGAAAAAGAGGAGGTTCCCATGGGGCTGGTGAGCCCACAAAGGAGCCTCATTCTTCTGGGTAGTGTGAGTGAAGGGACAGAACCATGGCAAGCCTAGGAATCTGACCCTGAGTATGGGAGATAAGCCCCTTAGGTTCCCACATGGAGCCTTGAACTGTCCCCAGTGTTCCAAAGCTAGGAACTTTGTAGGTAAAAGAACTGCTCTGCAGAGGGCCAGGCTGTAGTGGCGCACACCTTTAATCGCAGCACTCAGGAGGCAGAGGTATGCGGGTCTTTGAATTTGAAGCCAGCCTGGTCTACAGAGCGAGTTCCAGGACAGCCAGGGCTACACAGAGAAACCCTGTCTCACCGTCCCCTCCCTGCCTCCAGAAGGAAAGAACTGCCAGAGGCTGGAAATGGGTAGATTACTTGCCTAAAATGTCCCAGCAATGCATAAAACCAGGCATGGTTGGCACACAACTGTAATCCCAGTATTTGGGAGATAGAGAGGTAAAGGCAGGAGAATCAGAAGTTCAAGGTTATCCTAGGCTACATACTGAGCCCGAGGCCATCTTAGACTACATGAGACTGGCCCACATCTCCCTCACACACAGAATTACCTGTCACAAATTGGAAGAGAGCTCTGCCAGAGCCCATGGTGGTTCCAGGGCATGTCTGATGCTAAGATTTGTGGAGGAGAAACTCAAGACAGAGCTGCTGTTGGCAAGGATGTGGAGTGTGCGAGCTGCTGGCTCCTACACTGCTTTGGGATCTTTGGGCTTCACACTCCCACAACTGCTACAGAGAATGGGTCCTGGGTTCCATGCTGTAAACTCTGCCTATTAGTGTTCTTGGTGGCAAGGTTCTCAGCCATTCAGGGCAGTTTTTGTGAAGTGTATTTGGGACCTGTGTTCTAGACACTGTAGGCCCAGGGAGAGCCTTGGGCAGAAACTTCCCTGTAATATTGATAGCATGATTAAACGCACTTGGCATGGGGATGCTGGTTAACCCGGGTCTGAGTGTCACCTACACAGCTGAAGAGGGTTATCTTCCCTGGACCCTCATGTTGCAAGTTGGGGTGAAGTAGGCACTCCTCCTCCAAACTTCCCCACTGTGTTGCTTTGAGCAGACGGTGACACCCTTATGACTGTTATTCTGGGTGCCTGGACCCAGGGAAGGACATAGTTCCCAACAGTCCCTGCCTGAGGTTAAAGGCCACTTCCTTTCAGCCCCTCCTTGGAGCAGAGGTCTGACCAACGCTTCTGCCCACTTCCTGGGGCTTGAGAATAAAGGGGCCGAGAAGCCTTGGCAGGAGGGAGCTCCCGAGACTTGGCATAGTAAGGGCGTCAGCCTCCTCCCTCCCAGATGCTCATCTCTGGGTTCCAGTCTCCTCCATCACAGGCAAGCCTGGCTTCCTCCATGCCCTTCCATGCTTCTGTCTTCTCCCAGATCCATGCAGGGGCTCCAGTTCTCTCCAGCCTGATGGAAGCCACCCCATTCACGTACTCTCTCTGTCTCTCTACAGATGTGGCCCCTGCTGTGTCTGATCCTCCTCTTTGTTGGGTGTACCGCTGCTGGAACCCCAGGTGAGTTCTAACCCATGCAACTCATTCTTTCTACACTGGCTACATAAAGCCTAGTCCCCAGAGTGCTGGAGACACACGTGTGATCTGCTCTGTCCTAGTGTAGGTGGTAGGTTGGGCACTGGTCTCCTGACATTCTACTTGTTGCTTGCAGAGCCTGTGTCTGAGGATGTCCTGGTGGGCATTGTGGGGGGTAACAACGCCCCACAGGGGAAGTGGCCATGGCAGGTCAGCCTAAGGATCTACAACTACCACGCGGCCTCCTGGATGCACATCTGTGGGGGCTCCATCATTCACCCACAGTGGGTGCTGACTGCTGCCCACTGCATTCGCAAGTGAGTTCCTTTGTCATCCAGTGCTGGGTAGGATGAGGGGTAAATCGGAAGGGCGGGGCCAACGCCCCCACCGTACTAGAATATGTCGTCACAGCTTCTTTCTGCCCTCAGGAGAGATGCTGACCCCTCATCCTTCCGGATCCATGCTGGGGATGTCTACCTCTATGGGGGCAAGGAGCTGCTGAGAGTGAGCCAGGTCATCATGCACCAGGACTATGTCAATGTTGGCCTGGGTTCAGATGTAGCTCTGCTCCGGCTGGAGAAACCCCTGGACTGCTCTGCCAACATCAAGCCTGTCAAACTGACCTCTGGGTCTCTCGAGGTCAACTCGAGGTACCCATGCTGGGTGACTGGCTGGGGCATGGCCCACATGTTCGGTATGTATCAAGGAAAGGTTTGGGCTGTGGGAACACACTTGCCATCTGAGGATCCCGGGTGGGTGGCACTGGGGTCCTAGGGAGCAGGATGCAGGAGGGAAAAGGGAGGTACTGACGAATACAGAGTGCCTCAGGATGTTTCCGCCAGACACTTTAGATGTTCATCAGAGCTCTGCACCTGAGGCCAATGGTATGGCTGGGCCCAGAACCCAAGACTCTGAGGGGGAAAGTCCCTCCTCCTTCCTGTCCCCCATTCTCCCTCTTCTTGGGAATACTCTTTGGTCCTTGAACTGTAGGCAGACAGATTTTTGTTGCATTATTTTTGTATCTATTTGGGGGACATGTGTGTCACGGCACTCATCTTGCAGGAATGTTTTCTCCTTCTGAGTCCCTGGGCTTGAACTCAGGTCTTCAGAATTGACAGCAAGCACTCTACCTGCTGAGCCATCTTGCCAGCCCCTATAAGCAGACAGAATCCATCTTTAGCCTCCTAGGTATTAGAGTTGGACATGGATCTCGCAGATTGGTGTCTCCCACACACACTGTTCCAGGGATGGATTTGGGTAGGGATAGAGCTATTCTCAGCTCCCAGGAGGAAAGGCAGGGTAGTGAACAGGTAGGAGGTATGCACCACCAGCCTGGCTTCCTCTCTCCCCCAGCATCACTGCCACCTCCCTACCGCCTGCAGCAGGTTCGGGTGAAGATAGTGGACAATGCCGTCTGTGAGCAGCTATACCACAATGCCACCAGGCACTGGAACCATGACTATAAATTCATCCAGGATGATATGCTGTGTGCTGGCAGCGAAGGCCGTGGGGCCTGCTATGTGAGTCTCATCAACCTCCCCCTTCCTGTTCCCATCCCCACTCCAAGGTCAGTACTTACTGAGGCTTCTTCCTCTTCTAGGGTGACTCAGGTGGCCCCCTGGTGTGCAGAGTGGCAGGCTCCTGGAACTTGGTGGGAGTGGTGAGCTGGAGCTACGGCTGTGCCCTGAGAGACATCCCTGGGGTCTATGCCCGTGTGCAGTCCTTCCTGCCCTGGATCACTGGTCAGATGAAGTTGTTCCCCTGAGCTCAGCTGCCGGCCTCCTACTGATCAACAGATGAGTTGGCTAACTCTCCCAGAATTCACTGCTTCAGCCTTTGTGTGGTCTCCTGAACCTGTCCAGTCCCCTGGCCTTCTGGGAATCTGGACATCCCTGACCCAGGGAAGAAAGCATGGAGGATGGCCGGCTGGAGTGGGTGCTCTCAGCTCGAGGGAGAGAGGAGTGGGATTTGCTAGGCATGTAGCTATTGAACTTTTGGCTAGTCTTAATAAAGGTTCTGCGCACATTTAAGCTCAGGATTTTGTGTGAGTTTGCATCTCCTCTTCTTTGGAAAAGAGGCCTACAGATGTTGTTTACTATATGTTGACAGAATCATCTGCCCACGCTGCTAAACCTGTTTGTGCTGTGTCCTTGTCCTGGCCGGGTAGCTAGACAGTCACTGTTGGGCCTCAATATCTTGGCATCCCAAGAATGGATGGTTACACTGTGCACAAAGAGTTTGGGGCCGGGGGAGATCTTCAGCCCGATAAAAGACTTCAGCCATCACCAGTGGCACAATGTCCCTGGGATCAGGGGACTCACAGGAAGTCCTCATCCTTCATCCCCACGTTCATTCTATGCTGGGACTCTGTAGATTCAGGTACTCAGACCGTATGGACACGGTCACCTGAGGAAGATGGAGCTAGGAAGTAAGCCCTGGCCTCAGCACCCTTCCGCCAGAGCCCCAGGTCCAGCCAACAGGTGTCTGAGCGGCCTAATGAGGGGTCAACAAGCCAGGATGGGGCTGGCGCAACTAGTCTCATCTAGAGCAGATTCTGAGCGTCCCAAGGAGGATGCCCACAGGCATGGGGCAGTGAGCTGGGTGTCAGGTCTGTGGTACATAGGAGACAGGGTCATAGCCTGGTTGGGATTAATCCAAGACTAAGAGAGATGAATGAAGGCTGCATGGCGTGAGAAGGGACCCGTCAGAGTTCACCTGAGAGATGAGAAAGAGGGGGGCTTGCAAGGGTGGTCTCGCCCCTACCACATACACCTTTCGGTATCTTACTGAGGAGGGTGGTAGGGGTGGGCTGTGCTCAAAGGTGACTGGGAACCAGCCAGTTCTGTGGCCAGCTGTGGGCCCCGAATATCAGCAAACAGCCACCTGTGTCTACCTCTGCACCAGCTCCCAGTTCTCTAGCGGAGACCCTCCCCGGGGTCACTGCAGCTTCTCTGTCCCACACTCAGGACCTGCACGCCTGGGACTGAGGGAGGTGAAGGGGAGGTGAGCCCTGCCACCCGTGCACATCTGTCTCTGCCATGTGTGACTTGGACATGGCTCTAAGGAGAGAACAAGAGAAGGAAAGGCGGCCCGCATTTGCTGAAAGCCGCGAACTGGACAAGCTACCATGGGCTGCAGAGTAAATCCTTGGAAAACACTCCTTGCTGTGCACCAGAGAGCCTCCGGGTGGTGCTGCAGGGTGTGAGGCGGCCACTGTAGTTTGGGGTGCCTGTCAGGTATGCAAGGGACCTGGCCATCAGGCAGAAACCCAAGCCTGTTTGTGCTCCGCAGAGAGAGAACAGCCTTCCCCACTCCTTCCAGGGTCGTTTTGTCTTTCAGTTTTATTTCTTTTGGAGAAGGGAGATCTACGTGGCCCGGGCTGGCCTCAAATTCCCATGCCAAAGCCCTGGTGGGAGGGTGCCCACTCTTTTTATTGGCTTTTATTTACTCTTTTACGGGTTGCTGGCAGAACGAAGGCGAATGGCCCGGCATGCACTCTGACAGCGCTGGGTCTGGGATGGAATGTGTGAGGGCAGTGGTGGGAGGCAGGGTTTGGGACCTGGGACCTTTCTACCTGACAATAGGGTGTGGTACACACCATGCATTGCTAGACTCCCAGCACCCTCCCTCTTCCTATGGTCTTATGGGACCTTACAGGCTAGGAGCTTAGTAACGCAGACATACTGCACAGCCCTCAGGACCTCGATGGAAGTGGATCCTATCAACCTATTGAGTTTGGCCTGACATACACTCTGGTGCTCCTGATGGGCAGGAGGCCAGATTGCTTTCTAGGGAGTGACCACCTTCCTCAGCCTGCAGAGGCCCTTAGGCCTGCCCAGGAGGACTCAATCCACTGTCTGTTCTCGGGCCTTGCATGTGTTGGGTGGACACTCTACCACTAGTTTCCCCTGTGGCTGGGAAGGCAGATCTGTGCCTCCAGGCTCCGGTCTTCCCTGCTTACTGCTTCTGAGCACACGCATGTGACACAAGTGTCCCGGCTCTTCCCTTGCAGCTTGGACAGTACGCGGAAGGAATCCGCAGGATTTACTCGTCTGGGTACAGGTTGATGGACGTTTGGGCTGTTTCCAAGGACGGTTCTTGGGAGTAACGCTGCTTTAGCAGTTTGTGTTTTGTGTGAACACATGTTTCTCTTGGAGGAGCACCAACTGTGACTGTGGACGCACACAGAATGTTTAAAGGATCCAAAGCTCCCAAGTCCGGAGCCGTGATCACATCCTGTTGGCTGTGGCCAGGGCTGGGGTTCTCAGTTCTCGGTATCCACCATCTCTTTGGCTTCAGGAATTCTGGGGGTCATTCAGAGTGTCTTCCCAGGTTTCACCTGTGACAGGGTTTCTTTCCGTATACCAGGACAGCTTCAAACTCGCAGTGACTCTCCTACTTCAGGCTACAGAGTGCTAGGCTTACAAACACTGAGTCATCATGGCTAGCTCTGTGTCCTTTCCTTTTTTGGGGACAGAGCCTCATGAAGCCCAGGTTGGCCTTGAACCCCTAAATCTTCTGCTTTCATTTTCTAAGAGCTAGGATTGCATGTTCACACCGCCACACCAGATGTCTTAGCTTCATTTTCACTGTTGTTTTGATAAAAAACACCTTAACAGAGCAACTTAAGGGTGGAAGTGTTTGTTCTGGTCCCCAGTTCAAGGTCCGCTCCATCGCTGTGGGGAAGGCATGGAGGTAGGGGCCTGAGGCAAGCAATAATCAGGTGATAGCGCCAGCCCAGGGGCAGAGCAACGAATGCAGGCTGCGCAGCTCTCCTGCATTTCTATAGTCCAGGAGCCCAGCCAGAGAGCCGTGCCTCTGACAGTCGATAGGCCTTCCCACCTAAACCAGTGTAACAAGGTAATTCTCCACTGGATGTCCAGAAGCCCTTCTCTCAGGCCGGCCTGTCGAGTTGAAAATCACCATTACTGCATCAGTGATCTGGACTGGGGAGTCCAGCACAGGGCCTCCCGCACATTAGACGAGCCCTCTACCAACTGTGCCCCCTCCAAGCCAACTGTGCCCCCCTTCCAGCTCTCTTCTCCCTGCTTCTAATTTGCATTTTTGTCGGGGCTAACAGTGTACATTTCACCACATGTCCATATTTTCTATTTGCATATCCTTTTTTGGTGAATGTGCAAATGTTTTTTTATTTTGTGTTTTTAATTGCTTCCTGAGTTCTACATAATGTATGTTTCGAATCAAAGGCTTTTAAACATTTAAACGTTCTATGGGGAACGGGTTTCGCTGCGCAGAACGGGAGGATGGAGGTAAAGAGAACAAGTGAGAGGAGCAGAAGGGAGTCAAAGATTCTGAAGTAGCCAGTCGTTTCTCAGTTTGGTCCAGAAAACCATGGAGTCTGTCTATTGTGGGGACAAGACCACTCCGACTGGCCCTAGGCCTTGTATCTGCTCTAAGGTGGGGTGAAGGAGGAGGTGAGGTCTACTGATGCCCCCCCCCAATCCTGCTGTATATGTCAGGGAAGAGCTGTAACTTCCATTTGTCTTCCCATGGAGACCAGAGAGCAAGGGACCAGCTCAGAGGCAGAATGCAGCCAGGTAGGATGGACGGAGTGGTCCTCACTGAAACCCGAGTTTCTCTTCCCCAGTGTGGAAAGGCTGCAATGCCCCCTCCAGGCAGCCTTTCTGGTCCTGCAGGACACACTTTTCTACATCTAGGAGTCCAGCCTCAGGGGCTCCTCAGAAAGTTCTATATGAGCCTAGGCATCTGTGACAAGGCACCTTCCTCGGTGTCCCTGTTCCCACACCCAGCCTGGGTCTCCCTACTCCACCTCAGGTCAGAGGGTCCAGTCTCTAGCTGCCTGAGCAGGACTTTCTGTCTGGCTGGCAGGGGTGTGGCCAGGAGGTGTGGCCAGGAGGTGTGGCCAGGGGTGTGACCGGGAGGTGTGGCAAGAGGGTGTGGCGGGGCGGGGCAGAGTACAGGGCTTTCCTCAGTTCCCAATCTCGGGTAGATTCTGAGGATTTCACTGATACCCTCTAGATCAGGGATCCCTTCTTAGCTGTGGGGAAACAGGCTGAAGAGAGTTGTTCAGTCCTCCTCCATATATGACATCATGGGGCACGATGTGGGTATCTGGGGCCTGCCTGTCCCATGGCCACGGCTCCGGGTTGTGTAGTAGGGTCTGGAGGGATGCCTCAGCAGTTGAAAGCACATGGGGCTTTTGCAGACAGCCCAAATATGGGTGGTTTGCAATGGCCCATGATTCCAGCCCCAGGGCATCAAACGCTCTCCTCTGGCCTCTGGGAGCGCCTGTACCCATGTGCACACATGGCTTTCCCCACATTATTGAAAATAAAATACATCTTTAAAAAAGAATGCATGCCAAATGTTTGATCTATCTCTGCGCCTGCTCTGTATGACAACCAGGGCTCCTCCCTCAGGTGTGCTCTAAGGATGGGCTATTTGGGGGAGGTGTCAGCTCACCCCAGCACAGATGCATCCACACAGACCATCCTGCCTGGTCCAGGAACCTGCTGTCACTCAGTTTTAGGGGTGTATCCTTCATGAAACAGATTTCCTGAGTCCGGAACCCTAGAGCCATCACAGGTCCCCATAGGAGGAACCTTTAGGGCCCTCGCCTGTCCCACTTCTGTTTGCCTCTAACATGAGGGACCTGGTCTCCTCTTTACTTTGTCACCTAGTTCCCTGCAAAGTTCTTGACACCCTGGATCCCAGGTCTGCTGTCCAGGAAGAAATTCCATCTGCGCATCCATGCGTTCCCTTTGTTCTCACCAGATAGAAGGGCAGAGGGAGGTCACAACTCGGCCATGGTGACCCCATCCCAACTACTGGGTCTCCCAGGGTCATGGGCTAAATAAGTTTGCTGTGGGCCACGGTGGCTACTTGCTTCCTGTCTCGGGGATTCTGTCCAAGAGTGAGGTTGCAGCTGTCCCCTCCTCCAGGGTCCTCACTTGCCTCAGGCTGTCCTTTGGCCCCAACTAGGAGGGTTGAGCATGT